GTAGTAAAAAAATAGGAAGAAAAACTGTAGTAATCATTAAAATCATAATAACTACTGAATAAGGAGAAAAAAAATTGCTTCTTAAAACAAAGAAAACGTAGAAAACCTGAGAACTGCATTAAAAAAATTCAACTTAAACATATATCAAAAAGATCTGAGCATTTTTAACCAGATTTATATTTGTCTGATAAGAACTTCATGTTAGCGGCTCACAGAAAAGCAAAAAAAAAAAAAAAAATCTAAACAAAAAACTGATGTTAGTAAAATAAATAAAAAAAAACAACAATGAATTAAAAAAAATTGAGCAATACAACCCAGTTTATATAGAATAGCCGTTGATTTTTTTGCTTCTCTTCTACAGTGTTGAGAGTATCCAAATTTGCATATCACCATATCACATAATTTGCAATTCCATATTTTCTCATCCATCTCCTTATTCCCCCACTTCCCATTCTTCTTCCTCATTCTTCAACAGAATATTTAAAAAAAAATTTGTCGTCAGCGATTAAAGCATAGATCAGATGTACCATACATTAGATTGATCGTCATTAAAATTTATCGTTTTTCCTTTATTGCCGGAGAAAACAAATATATGAAAAGCAGTCTTAGAATCGTTGCTTTGCTTGCTTGTTAGTCAACTGTAAACCCGTACTGATGCAAAAACGCAAAAAAAAAGAGAAATATTGACAAAACTAGTAATTGTTATAGAAAACCTAAAGAAATGTAGTAAGAAAAAACAATTAAAAAAAAAACCTGTATACAATATCCTTCACCCGCGCATAAGACATCATCGCTGCGAACTGCAGACGAATTGATGCCCAAAAATTATAACGGATGAACAAATTTGTGGCTATCAAAAAAAGAAAAAATCATTTAAAAGCTATATAGATCACAACGAGCTTAATCAAGACAATAAATCTAGACGTGAACAGACAAATGAAATATGTGATTCACTGACATCCCTCCTAAATACCTAAAACTGCAACTCTTTTTTTCTTCTGCCTAATCATTCCCTCCTTTATCATTTAGCAGATGAAAAGAGTAGTCTCAACAATAAAAAAAAAAAAAAATAAAAAAGAACAAACAAACAAAAAAACATAGTTACAGGTAGTCAAATAAAACTTAATATGCATAGATTGAACAATTCCTAATCCAAAGAAAAAAAGGTTTTTTTTGCGCAAAATAAACCTAAGACGATGCTTAGCATCTATAGTGCTTGTAAAACCGTCGTAGGTGGACGATCGTTGTTAGGTAAACAAAAAAAAGTTACAATTCGGTCTTCAACCCGGATGTTAGTAAGCAAAAAAATAAAAAAATAAAAGTGTAAATGAGTAAAAAAACTAGAAATAATCAAAAAAATGGAAAGCAACAACAAACAAAAAATAAAAAAAAATTGAAGCTGATGACCAAAATGATAATAAAAGTTAAAAAATAACGAAAAATTTACGTTAGCCTATAGATAAGACTGTTATCATCCCGGACTATGCCTTAAATGTCGCCGACTTTCTTTCACCGTATCATTTTTTTTTAGCCTCCGCTTTTTGTTTCATATAACTTTTTTGTAGCCATAACTTCGTTTTTTTTTTTTTTTCTTTGGTTAACCCACACTGTAGAAGACAGCAAATTCTAAACCGTTCACACCACAGTTGTTGTTTCTAGTTCAAATTCAATCAAAGAAAATTCAATAATTTTTAAGACAAAAAAAAAAAAAAAAGCACCGTTAAAAAAAAAAAGCATAATCATGAACGAGACAAAACAAATTTCCTTAAGTACCTTATGAAATCTGAGACTGTGCTTCTTGTCGTGCAACACTTTTTTTTCCTTTCTTTCCTTTTTTTTTTTTTTTTTTCAAAATCTATCTTTCTTTTTCTATTCAAAAGTTTAAACAAAACGACTAAAAACCTCTTAGTTTCAAAAATACTCCTAAAATAACGTACACACACGCACAGATACACACAAAACACCGGTAGATCCGAATACAGTCAAATAAGAAAAAGTACTTTTTTGTTCTCCAGCTGAAATACAGAAACAATATTATCCTATCTACTTCTGAACAAATTTTTTTTTTTGATTACTTCATTTTAGTTCAGCTCAGCTCAAAGTTTGTTTGTTTGTTCCAAAAACACAACCACATCTTTGTCGTTATATTTTCTTGTTGTGCTCTATATTATTGCCGTTTTTATTCATCTTCTTTTTTGATCATCTTCCTGCTTTCAATTTTTCTTTTTTCTTTGGTCACCAAATAGCAAAAATTAGCTTCGTTACTTTCTTTTCCTCCATCACTCAACAAAAATTTCTTTTTATCATTGCTTCTCCTAAATTACTGTCATCTTTTTTTTGATATGCAATAAAATTTTGAAAAAAAAAATTTCCCAGTAAAATATAGCCACAAAATAAAACGATAAAATTTGAAAAAAAAAAAACAAAAAGATTGTAATTTAAGCACTATAATAATATAAAAACATCATTGTCTTCTCTAAGTATTCAAAAAAATCTCAAAAACAAGTACACAAATTTAAAACAAAGTTTAAAAAAAGAAATTTTTTTTTTTGTGGAGGAAAAAGACTCATTACTCATATACAAAAAAGAAGTAGAATAAAAAAATATTCATAGAAAACCAACAACAGAATAAAGCCAGTATCGTCGGTGAACGACAAATGAAGTTTGGCCTTAGAAAGTCTTATGGTAAGTTGCAATTCTGCCCACTTAACAAAATTCATGAGAGAAAAAAAAGCGGTGAACCCTTTCGCATCTGTACGCCAAAAATTCAAAACAGGTTCACGCAGACGCTTTTATAAACACATACAGATACATACACTCACACACAGACACACACAAACATAATATAGACATACAGTATACACACAGTTATAAACAAACTCATAACCAATACAAAGAGCAAAAACCTCATTCTCCTCCTCATCCTCGGCTATCTTCTTAAGATTAATTCTCTTTCTATTCTTCAATTCTTTCTTTTTTTTGCTCCTCATCATTTGTTCTGTCTGCGTCTTAACCATAACTAAAACAAAACGCTGCAAAATTTGATGTCTAAACGGCGAAGAAAAAAATAGTTGTAGATTCCAATAATTCAAAAAAAAAAAAAAAAAATAACTGCATAACTTTTACTTAGCACCTTCTTCTTTTCTTCTGCTCCTTCTTTTCTTCCTCTTCTTCTTCTTCTTCTTCTTCAATCTTTTAAAACCAATTTTCTACTAACAAATATTACTGCAAAACAGTCTCAACTCTCATCCTCTATTCATCTAACTTTTCTCCGCACGACAGTCACTAAGATAAATATTTCACTTTTTTTCAAATACCTCTTCCCTTGTCCTTCCTCATCTCCCTCTATCTCTATCATTTAAAAGGAGAGATAATGCCGCTAGTACCCTTCCACGAAACCGTAGGTATCAAAAAAAGAATGGTGCGGAGCGCATAACTTTGGTTGATAAAAGGAAAGAAGAAAAGAAGTGAGAACAGATATGGTAGGTTTTTGCATTAAGAAAACTTTTAAAAAAATTTAAAAGAAGCAGATAAAAAGAGAGAAGCTCAAGAAAAAAATTAAATTCTTAAAAAATGTAAAACAGAAATACAGTTAAAAAAGAACAAATAAATATAAAACGAAAATAGAAATAAAGATAAAAATAAAAAGGAAAGTAAAAATAAAGATAAGAACAAAAACAAAAACAGAAAGTAAGATAAAATTGCAGCAGAATGAAAACCTGTAAACTAAAATAATAAAAATTTTTTCTCCAATAAATTCCTTCATCTGTTATGAATTAATTAATTATACTCGAAACAACAAGTAAGAAAAAAGAGAACAGAAAAAAAAGAATCTCAATTGTAGGAAAAAATTAAGAATTTCCTAGCAGAATCTACAACTTTCAAACAACTGACAACCATTTTGCAAGCACAATTGACAAGCTCTAATTCTTCTTCCACAAACTTTTTTCCACTTTCAATTTTTCCCGTTCTTGTTCTCTTTGATTTTTTTTTTCGTTATCTTTTCATTTTTAGCTTTTTTTTTTTTTTTGATATTTTCTGCTGAAAGATTTTGTTTATTTTTTGTTTCAAACTTTTCAAAACTTTTTTTCTGTGTCTAAAATCAAGTTTTCTGTCATTTTTTTCCTGTGTTTGTGTGTGTGTACAACCAATATTACCAGTACGGTGAATCATCTGTAATCGTTTTCCAACTGGCAAACTTCGACCAATTTTCGTAGTTACCAAACATATAAATATCCGTTTTATCTGGTTTACCAAACAGTGGATAACTTCGACGAGGCGCTGTCCCAGTTACAGGTTCCTCATGGTTAATTAACGAATAATTTTGTCCGCCATTAGAATCCCAGAATTCTTGCATTGGTGCTCCGCCTGAAACAGTTCAGTAGTCATACAACTTTCAATCCTTCTCAAAAACAGTTCTTGTAGCAAAATATATTGAATTTTAAATCTTACTTTCAGGCGTACCAGCTTGATAACATATGCAAAATTCGATGACTGCATTCGGATCATCGCCACTTGTAGCTATCTCAAAATCAAAACTGAATGTATCCGTTGTTTTCGAAGAAGATGGTTGATATGTAGCTTCATGATCTGTGTATGTTTCCCACTTATCAGAGGTCATACGTATGAATACTCTTTTCTCATAAGCTATATTTTTGACCTGAAATAACTGTTGTCATACCTACCAAAGTGTTATACCAGAAGTTATGCTCTGACCGTTTTGATAAAAAAAAAACGAAGTAATAAAAAAAACAAAAAAAAAAAAA